AAACATCAGTTAACTGAAAGCATTCCAGTCAGCAAATTTAAATTTCCACTAGTGCTGTGGCGCTGCAACCTTTAGCTATGTCTTGGGCTACTCCAATATTTTTTTTTGTTGGCGGGTGTGTTTTAGCTGGCAGCACTGGCACTTTTGTGTAGTGTTTTTCCGAGGACTATGTGTCGTGCTGAATCAAACGTTTTTGATACTAGATTAACTTCTAAAGTAATTTTTTTTTTTTTTATATTTTTCAATATATTTATTTTGTGTGTACAAAATAAAGAAAATTTTTAACAATACAATAGCCATGATTATTATTATAAAAATTTTTGTTAGACTTAACATCGGCGAAAATTCAACACGAAGCGACATGCAACAGAGAAAAATTTCAACATGTGATAGGTTAATATATTTTTTCATACATAATTGGTTACCCAAACAACCCCAGTCCCCAATTGATTCGGATAAACGACACTCTACTGTATTGTCAATGTTTGAAATATCTATGTTTATTTCAATTATGTCAAATTTTGTTTTGTTTGTCAATGAATGCGATGTCTGGTCTGTTGTAATGGATTGTTTTATCTGTGATTATGGCTGGTAATACATTTTTGTATGGTGGTGTTTTCTGTGACTGAGGTGTATACAAAACATTTTGTTTGTGTTTGATATACAAGTTTTTGATTTATTATATTTGCTATTTGGTTATATTGATGTAAGTAGTCAGTTGTGTGGAGGATCCCCATGATGTCTTATCACAGACCTGATATTTCTAGTGTCACAACCAACACTCCCATAATTAAAGAGGAGATGCCATTCAGGATGGCGAGAAGGTGTCAACTGTATATGTGTGTGGTGGCGTTAGACACAAAGGCACAAACTCCATTTACATTTACATTTAACACTCGTTTACTAAAATACAAAAGGCATCTTACATAAGTTGAGAGACCTTCCTTGGTCCTTAAAACTAATCTGATATGTTACCAGTGTCCAGACAGGATACAAAGTTCACATAATGATAAAGTTTCCCAAAGTTTGTCACTCTTTCTCAGCAGATCAGTGTTCTATATGAACTGTCCACTGATGGAGAATGCAAAGAACACAGTTTGTTGTTTCCTGTATCCAGGATGAAAGTTTTCCTATCTCAGCTGGAGAGCTCTTTGGTCTTGGAGAGATCATTCTCTTGTCTGGTGAAATCATTTTCATCAACTTGGTTAGAATCTGCTTGACTTGGAGAAATTGCTTTGTCTTTGGGGAAAATCCTTTCAGTTAACTTAGTGGGAAAATCTCTGCTGTCTTAGTGGAAAGAATTACCCTCTGTCCTTGAATTCAGGCCTCTTAAAGGCCTGAATTCAAGGACAGAGGGTAATTCTTTTTCACATCCCCAATCGAACATTCTGATTGGTTGTGATCTCCATCCTCTACCTTTCCAATTGGTCCCTAGTTTGTTGCCAGGGCCAGGTGAAGCGGAATCTGGAGATCGGACACTAGCCAAAGATGTTTATTGAACTTGTTAAGAACTGTACATAATTCAGAGTCAAGCATTTTTACCTGGTTGTAAATATTACCAGCTTCACTTGTGTGACATTTTGATTTTTTATTATACATTCTATCTTCCTGTTTTTGCAATTGTTGGAAAAAATGGTCAAATTCCTGATCTGCTCTCTCACAATATTTTATCTACTAAGAGCATTTTATTTGAAACAGCTTTTTCCTTTAAAACAGATTTTGGTTGAGGTTTCAGACTCTGGTTGAGACCTCACAAGTGTATTAAAAGCTTTCAATCTGATGTGTGATTTGTTGTATAGCTTCATGTATGATGTGGCATTTTCCACAAGTGTTGTTTATAAGTATTGCTTCTTGTATTTATGACTTGGTCATATGTGGCAATCCTGAACACTTTTCTCCAAAAAGGCATCCATCAGCAGCCAGCTGTTTGATGGTTCTGTCAATGTGATTCTGCATAAGACCATTAGAGAGGCTATCATGGAGCTTCTTTTGACCCTAAGATTGCCTGATGATATCTGTACATTTTTCTGTACTATGTTAGATCCAAGTCAGTGTTATGTAGGCTTAATGGTTTATTATTTTTATCTGCAGAAGTTACAGCTTTGTGTAATTATTATGTTTCTTGTTTTCTATAGAAAAACTCTCATAATGTCTGTATTAGTTTGTGCAGATTTAAAATATCTGTGAGGCCTCATCCTCCCCTCCTTACTAGGAAACGTTAGTCTTTGGATGACTTAAGTAAGGTGGTATTTGTTATGTTTTGTTAATGTTGTTTGTTAAAACAACATTAACAAAACATAACTAATAACATTTCACAGAAAGTTTGATTTATCTTCCTTTTTTATGAAGAAAAGGCTTCATAATGTCATGGTTATAGTAAATCTTCATACACCAAAACATACAGGTATTGTGAGATTATTTCTACAAAAACCAAGAAACATTACGATTATACAAAGTATGAACATCCATTACGTACCCCAAAGCCTGTTACTGGTATGCAATTAACTTCAAAAAATGAAAAATGAAAATTTCATGAACATTTTCAAACCTTCAACAGTTCTTCAGGCAGCAACNACTTGTATATACCAGTGCCTAGTGCTGTGCCATAAGTCAAGCCTTGACTACAGAAAAAAATTTATTATTAATTATTAGAATGAAATATCTTACTACATAATATTGTACAATAGTCATGAATATGGTAAGATGCTATTGTAACAGAGACACATGATGTATTTGAGATGAGAAAAATTACTTAAAACTACTGGTCCCTAAAATAAAAAAAATTTTGGAAAGTTTGATTTTAACATCCTGGCTACTATACAAATAGAATACAAAAAACTGTATATAGATATAAACAAAACTCTAAAATTTAAAATTAATGAAATAATAGATTTTTAAAACTGCATCAATTAAAAAAGAATGTCTTTGTTATCTGGCAATTTAATATTAATTTATATCGTTAGATCTTAAAATAAATTTTCAAAATGGTTTTCTAAAAATATACTATAAGATATATAAATGTGAGATACTAGGTCATTGCACAACTTTGTCATACCATGATAGAATTGAGGCAGAGCCAGAAGGAAAGAAGCAATCTCTGTACTTGTTAGGCATAGAAGAGGCAATCCTTGTACCTGCAGACTATGGGGGAGACAATTCTTGCATTGACCAGATATGGAGAGGCAATCCAAGAACAAAACAATTGCCTTCAATTGTTTTGTTCTTGTGTTTTGTTCATTTTTCGTACATATTTTCTGTTAAGCACACGCAATGCTGTTTTTATGTTTGACTCCTAGAGCTAAATTCCATTAGGTGCATTCAGTTGAATCAGAGAACATAGACATTGTCACTGTAATATCTTTGTCTATTGAAAATGAAGTCATGGAATCCTATTTTTACTTTCCTGGCTCTGTTATATATAACAGAGGGAAAGTATGCCAATCAATCAAAAATGACACCCCTGAGATTTTTACATTTTTTGGACTCGGGAGACCTAGAAATGTCGAGAAATACAAAAACATTCAGGTTTTTTCTGTATGTATGGATGTTAATGTGTGTGTGTGTGTGAGGCATATGATTTTGCTCACCCCCTTTGAAGCTTAATAACTCCTGAGCTTCCAAAAATTTCTAAAATTTTGCAGGGAGGTTTGTTTATTAGTAAGATTGATGCTATTAAATATTGGTGGTTTAAAATCCAGGGAATGGAAAGATAAAGGGGATCATGTGTCTTATCTCAAGCAGGGTCAAACTTAATGATGATTTTACTCATTATTAGCATTTACAATTTTTTATAAAACCCATCTATGTCTCAAAATTACGTTTTTTGCCATTTTATAATAATTAAAAATGCAAACAATTTTTCTTAATGAAATATCATAACAGATGATGCTACCAAAATTTTAAATATTGCCGGGAAAGTTAAGTGATTTGTTGCTGGATTTTTTACATTTAAATAGACTCACATTACATTTCTGGATTCTTCATCTCAACTAATGGAAAATGGCAAAGTATTATCAAAATCAGCCCATTAAATGTTGAGAAGAACTCAATTGTATAAGCCCATAGAAGACAAGCTAGCGATCGTGAAACATCGCACAACAAAGTCACACAATTCATGCAATACCATTTTGTCATGTGCACTAGTGAAACTACCTTATATCTCAAAAACGAAGTCATGGACCCACATTTTTTATTGCATTTTTGGATTCCTCATCACAATTAATGGAAAATGTCAAAGTTTAATCAAAATCAATTAAACAGATTTTGAGAATGAACACAATTCTGTAAGCCTCAACAATTATATTATTGAGGCTTCACTATATATTCTATGCAAATAGAATATTTCAATTAAGATTTTACATAACGTCAATTAATTTGATATCATATTTTAATGATGTTATGTGCTGTAAACAATTTTAATCTTAAATACAGTGGAACCTCGGTATACGACCTTAATCCGTTCCTGGTGTTTGGACTTATACCGAATAGGACGTATACCAAACCAACCTTTTCCATAAGAACTAATGTAAAAATGATTAATCCGTTCTCATGTAAAAAAAATGGCTGGCTTTAAACACCTCGCTTTCCTCGCTAGTTTCTGCTTGATTTTTCATGAGATCAGCATGTATCCTTTTAACTTTCTCGCAAATAATTTCTTCTGATACGCTGTCGCCGGCACACTGTTTTTCAGTTATCCAAAGCAAACGCAATTTCTCGACATGATCTAATGTCTTCGATCTCTGTTTAGAAATTGATTTAACCCCTTTCGCAACGTTAGCAAATTTAATAATGTCTTTATTTTTCACGATTGTCGATATCGTCGTTCTCGGAATACGGAATGCAACAGTTAAATCTCGAACACGCGTGCCACCTTCATATTTCTCAACAATCTCTTTTTTCAGTTCCGTTGTGATTCTAGTCATTTTTTTATTTTTCTGTTGCCATTTTGCAATTCATGATTAATAAAAAAATAAACTGTTACTTGCAAATTAAAATCTGAAGAAATTTAACAAAGTTATAAACCGTAGCACCGCGAATGTCTAGTCTGGTGTAGTACACCGATAGTGCTACAATACTTGTTCATAGATGGCGCATATAATTGAATTAAGTCGTATACCGAATAAAAGTCGTATACCGAACAAAATTTGTTTCGTCCAAACAGGACGTATTCCGAATTGGACGTATTCTAAAGCAGACGTATACCGAGGTTCCACTGTATTTTGAAGTTAATTTTTTACTTATAAAATTTATTTCCTACCACACTGCGATCTCTTCCTGGTGTTCCGCTACTGTAAGTTGTTGCTAATGTGGAAGAACATTCTTCTAAGTACCATGGCTTTAAACCTCCTTGTGTTGCACTACTGATGGACAAAGTATATATAGAATTAGTGTATCCATCACAATTACAGTTATCACTATATCTTCCTCCATTACCAGATGCCCAAACAAAAATAGATCCTAATCCGTTACGACCCTAAAGTAAATAAAAATATTTTAATATTTTATTAATTACAGTTATCACTATATCTTCCTCCATTACCAGATGCCCAAACAAAAATAGATCCTAATCCGTTACGACCCTATATAAAATAAAAATATTTTAATATTAATACAAATATTCAATAGCTAAACTTAGATTATTATATAATCCTCACAGCGATGCATGCTACTTCAAAATAGTGTTTTATCTAATCTTGTTGAGATCTAACAAGCCTTGTCGACAAAAATGCATCTCTGGTAGGTGACTGACGGGATTATTGTAAAATTTCGACATTTAGTATAGTATAGTTCTTAAATGAAAGCTGAAGTTCAGACCTATAGTTATTTGTGTTCTTAATATTTCATATTACAGTAAAAACACAAATGACTAAAGGCCTAAAATTGTTTTTCATAGACTTCAATAACACACATACTTTTACACTTATAGATATTACCTTCTAAAATGTAAATTTTGCGTCATTCTTCATAAAATAATTAAATGAAATAATACGAAGGAAGTAGACAATAATTATAGAATTTTTAAAATTTTTAAATATAAAACATTATATTTGTAAATTTATTAAACTGTAGCTNATAATAACCATACTAAAATATCTAGCAAGAAAAAAACCTTACTAACTAAATAAATTAAACAAACATTTTCAGAGTTTTAAACCATCATCTTCAGATTAGAATACAATGAAATGTAAAATACAAAATGGAACATAATTTTAAAAGAGAAAAAACTACAATTCCATTGGTTGAATCTGAATGCATCAATAATGATGTCAATGTATCTTACTTTAATAAAAAAAATTTATAAATGTATTTCAAATAAGGACTTCCATGTGTTTGAAAAATCTCCACATCTCTGTAATTTATCACTGCATTCTTAGTAGAAGTCTTATAAATGTCTAGTTTCTCCAGATGTTTTAGAGGAGCCCAGTCTGCAGCAGGATGTAGGATGCAGGCTTAACTGAAAAACACTTGAATCATTGTTTTTCAACACAAATGCAGTGAGAGCAATAGTTGGTAAGTCCTTTTTGATGAAATTCAGATACTCCTTAATATGAATGCTTAGAAAACATGACACTGCTCCTATGTATACCATTCTTTGTTGAATTTGTGGATGGAGTATACATCAGACAGGTACTTCTTGTCAATATGGTCTTTGGCATTTCCTAATAATGTATAATGAGTTTTATTTTGTAAAAATTTAAATAACTTATAAAACCCAATACAATACAATAAAAATACAACTGCCAAATAACATTGAGCTATAAATTGGTGATAATAATTATAAATTATTGATAAATTTGACCTTAGAGGGAGGTGTTAGACACCATCTCATATTAAATTTAATAATTATAATTTAATTAAATGATTTTAGATTAAACTGGAAGAAAAGAATCGGCCCAGAGCAGGACTCAAACCCACAACTCCTGTTTGCCGTGCAAATGAATTGCCAATTATGCTACCTGGACATCCAGTCTGATATCCTCTAAACTCCCACAAGGCACTCAGCCAGTCATTGCATACCAGGCAAGGCATATACAGTCAACCTCCCCTATAACACTGTTGATTTTTCCGTTTTATATGAATTCCATGTTGTACGAGTCACTTAGATTTTACAAATGTGTGTGCCAGGCTGTGAACGGCTCATATATATACATACATACATACATACAAATATATTTATAAATCTGTAGTAAATTAAAAATAAAAGAGTTGGAAATAAATAAGGACTTTGCAAAAAATAAAACGTAACAATGTAACACCAGTCTTGCCATTTTGACAAATGGCTATTTTTATGTAAAGTATTTTAAAAACTAAATTTTCTATGCAAAAAGAAATCATGCATATAAAACAGAACAAAAAGTTAGAAGAATACTGATTTTTTCAGATTTTTCAAAGAATTTTAAGAAAAGGTTATGTAAGTTTGAAAATTGAAATTGTTGGCATGGACTGTAATCAGATTAATTTATTCTCAGACATTAAGCAGAAAAGCCAATCACAAAAATGCTCTTAATTTTTATTATTTTGAATACTGTAATATGAGTATATTTCATTTTCACATTTCAGATCTGCAATGGAAAAAGAAAGGGAGTTTTAAATGTGATACTCTTTAATGAGAACACATTAGTGAGAACTCAGCTTTCCTTGTCCCCTTCTGAATCGCATTAATGGGGAATTCATAAATATATTTATGGAGGACATTTCATAAATAATGCACAATATGGCAGCACTATGAACTTCATGATGCAATCCCAGTGAAAAGTGATGCTAATTTCAGTTAAAGACTTAAAGAATTAGCACAGTTTATTACTATCTTACTGTATACCATTTTGAACTAATGAGTGTTATGGTACCTTAGATATTGTAATGATTGAAGATCGTCTTAAGATTAAAACTTTATGGAAAAACCTGACAGAAATTCACATAGTTCTGCATGAACTTTATGGTGAATAGTAGAGGCAGTAGATTGTAGATCAGTTTCCTATTGGGCTACTCATTTTCATGAAGAACATGTAAACATTAGTGATGGCCCAAGGGCAGAAGGATGAAAATGTCAACAGATAAGCAAAGCACAAAACTTGTGGCACACTTTCTTGATGAGGATCATCAAGTGATGTGCAAGGAAATATCACAAAATTCCAGTAATATCAGTATTCTATATTTTGAAAAATGAATTGCAGAATAACAAAATTACAACCCTATAATTTCCTCATTGCTTGACTCCTAGACAGAAGCAGAATCATCTAGACATTGCAACATTATTGAAACAGATTTGTCATTGATGGTCAACCATTTGTGTTTCAAGTTGGCTATTGATGAAACATGGGTTACTTTAAACAAGAGTTGAAACTGCAGTCAAATGCATGGAGAAAGAAGTTCATTCTCTCTGTGACCCAAAAACTTTGACAAGCACAATCAAAGGTGATCTTTGCTACAATTTCATGATGAACTCAGGATATTTTTCTTCTAATTATCAATTAGAGATTCAGACTATGTACAAATAATTTTTTGTACATAGTCTAAATCTCTAAGTGATCTTTGCTTCTGATCACTGAGGAATCATCATGACAGACAAGTTTCCATGTGAAACAAATGTGACAGCAATGTATTATAATGACTTCATGCAAAAATTGCACAGAAAAATGCACAAAAGCTGATCTGATTTTCTCAGAGATGGCCACTCATTTTGTGTGACAATGCAAACCTACATTGAAGAAGGTTATGACCTATTTTCTGAGTAAGTGCAAGTGGGAGGTGTTACCCTCTCACACCAAACAGTCCAGATACAAGCCCACCAGATTTTCACTTGTTTCCCAAGTTAAAAAAGCCCATTCATAGATAAAGTTTTTCTTCCTTGGAAGAGCTTTCTGCAATGATTACTCCAGTGCATCCAAGGACTGAATGAAAATAGTGATCTCAATAGAATAGCAAATCTTCCAAAATGCTAGGACACAGTCATTGAAAAAATAAGAAGACTACATAGAAGGACTGTAAAGAAATACTGCTTAAAATAAAACATACATCTAACAAGGAGATGGCCAGATATTCATGTCTCCAATTTGAATTAAACTTGGTGAGCATGTAACCCTAAACAAAAATAGTTCCTTGTCAAAATAATAGGACCCACTTCTAAAGTGTTTCCAAAATACAGACCTCTAAAAATTGAGTATTTAGCTTTTAAGTCTAGAAGTCCTACACCTATCCTAAGAATGGCAGAATCTTAAGAAAAATGATTGATTCCTTATTCAGATTTCCTAGCACAAATACAGTAATTTAAAAATTTCTAATTTATTTTAATTTCTAATAAAAATAAAATTTAGTTAAGTTACATTTTAAATTATTATTGTTGTAAATAAATTTTTCCTATCAAATAATATTTCAAATAAAGTTCATTATTTACTGGTATATATCAAATCAAACATATTTTACTTTATCTTTCAATAATAATTTATACATACTGAATTTACTCCATCAATAAATGCTTGTTTTGCTAATTTTCCAGGTCCATCAACTGTTTTACCATCATCTTCAGGACCCCAGGATGCACTATAGATATCAATATGATTTGGATTCAGACTTAATGCAGTAGCTTCTACTTCATCAGTAACTGTTCCATCTAACATACGAACACCTAAGTAATCAAATTAAAATTATTTTACATTTGTTTAAACAATTAATAGTTTTAATTATTAAATTTTAATGAAGTAAAGTTTGAACCATTCTATTATTATCTATGTTATATCTTAACTACATTTAAATCTTACCATGAATCAAATTCTCAGAATTAAAGAATGATATGATTCACAACCAAATGATAACTCTTGTTTGTTTCATGATATATCTCTATATATTATTTTAAATATATATTATATATTTTTTTTATTTTATTCTTCTCATATATTACTGTCTCATTGTCAATTTCTTTCCTGTTTCTTGTATTAAAGACAGCAAAAGACTTACTGTTAACTAATTAATAAACACACTGATATACTAGATGTAAAGTATCACTCACAAAACCAAAAGTCCAGCTCATAGATCAAAAAGTGAAAAGAAAATAAATGTTTTTATTGCTTTGAGCAACCATCTTCAGATTAAAAAATTGATTTTGAAATAGAACAAGAAATGAATGTTGTAATTTAAATATGAAAAGTATGATGTCTGATGGCAGTCAGCAGTCACACAGTTATACTGGGATGTAAAATTAGTATTAAATTTCAAATAACGTCCATTGTTCCATTTCCAAATATATTCTTTTAAACTCAAAATGGTTGCTCAAGGCAATTGAATACATTTGTTTTCCTTTCACTTTTTGATCAATGAGCTGGATTTTTGGTTTTGCAAATAATAGTTTTATTGTTAATTGTTTTCAAAATAATATTACTCATTTTCATTTTCTTTAAGAAGATACTTTTCTCTCTACATGTTTCTATTTTAATTATTTCACTGTCTTAACATCTTTACATTCTCTTTTGGTCTTATTTTTTTCCTCTTAATATTTTATTTCTTTGCTTAGAAATTTTGATAGAAAGCATAGGGGGGGAGAGATTAAATAATTGGCTATTATCCAAACTCTCTCCTGCCTATCATGAAGAGATCGTCTGAATTGTATACTTCATAAACAATTGGTACAATTGGAACAATTGGAAATTTAAAATTGACAGACCAAATCCAATCTTATGACATATTAAGATTTGTTTTTATATTCCATATAGAAGGTAGATACAAAATTATGATTAAAAATAACATATAGTCAATTTTTATTCCTATTTTTTAATTTCCATTAACCTAACTTTTAGTTCCAAATGGAAGTGGAGGTGATGGATTCTCTTTTCTCAACTTGAAGTTAGGAATTGTTATAGCATTTTTTATGTGAATAATAGCAGTAATATAAAATGTTTTCATTTAATTAAAAGGAAATAATGAAAATAGATAAATGAAATTCTTTAATAAAATGTTTCTCATAATTAATATATGTGAGAAGGTTTTTATAAACAGTGTATTTAGTTGATAAAAAAAATTATCATATAATTACATCAAAGTAGATTAGAATCATTTTTAAACAAAATTTTTTATGAAATATTTAGAATTAGTATCTAATTTAAAGAAATACAAATACATAACTCATTACACATAGGAAAATGATTATACAGTAAATCTGTTTTTATGAATGGTATAAATTTTCTATTATGATTGTATGAAATGCCATATTTAAGTTTCATATTTTTTGTTGCCCATTTTTATTTTATGAATCAAATTATATCCAGGAAGAGCATCTCAATTTATAACATTAAACTTATTAGGAATTACAGTTCATTTCATAATAGTTTGCTTGATGGCAGATTTTCACAAACAAAATAGCCCATATAAGAGAGAATCAACTCTATTACACTATAAATAATTTTATTATTAAAAATTAAAATATCACTGTATATATATTTATTAGCTTTAAAATTCTGTTATATATCATTTAATTGTTTTAACACATCCTTAAATGTCCACATGTGCATACTGTATATAAATATGTTCATAATATAGTAAAATCTGTTTATTGTGATCACTTCACAATTCACTCTACACTAATGATAACTGACTGATAACATTAAGTGAAGTATGTAAATAGGACTGTAGTGGAAATTATAGTTTTAATTATTATGACATTAGAAATACATGTTAAAATAATATATAGCTTAAAGATTTATTAATTATTATTATTAATAATAATTAATAATAATTCATAATACTAATTGATTTAAAATTCTTGATATTTGAAATATGAAAAAATTAAAGAATTACTTTTTCAATAAAATGTTTCATGTTTTAAAGACAATTCATAACATTGTATTTATTTTTTTACAAACATTAATGTTACCATATATTAATTAAATTAATAAGTGAAAAGAATAAGATTTTAGCAAATAAGATTTTACATAGATACTTAATGCAAAAGTAAGAAATATTTTATTTTTAAATCTTTTTGTTAATTATATAATAATTAAAAGATAGCATGCAAAGATAAATAATTTTCACTAATAATTTAAAAACATTTAATTCTGTATAGTTATTAAAGTAAAAATTAATTTAAAATTTTTAATATACATATACAATTAAACTTTTTACTAATTTTACAGATAAAAATGATAATTATACTGGTAAAATATCAAAAAATAATTAAAACATTTTGCATAAAAATAAAAAAATGTATTCAGGGGAAAAAAATTGTCATTGTTGTTATATTACTAATTTACGTATTATTAAATATTCTGAATGAATTTTAAAATAAAAATTAACATAATACAAAACATATTTAATAAAAAAAAAATAAGTTGTTTAATTATTACACAAGAAGTTCTTTCTCAATTCTTAAGACAAAAAACTGTAATTTCATTTAAGAGTAAATTTAAAATGTTTATATATTTTTACCTCCAATGCTTGCATTGTATGCAATTCCTACACCACAAAATTCATTAAAAGCTGTTGCTGCCACTTCACCTGCACATCTTGTGCCATGCCTAAAATTTAAAAAATATATAAATCTTAATGAATATTTTAAAATTTCATAAAAGATACAAATATAAGCATAATATTTTAATTTTTTCAAATAAATATAAATTCAATTATTATCCAATTTATAGTATATGGATAATTCTAGACTGATTTGAACTTTTCTAGTGTAGTGATTCAAAAATCAATCACAAAACTGTAAATTTTTAAATCATTATTTGCTAGCAACTCTTAAATCATTTTCTGACAGATCATAGTTATCATCCTTGCTGTTTTAATAATGCTATTCAAGATGATATAACATGATGTCAAAAGAGTAAGGAACAACATTGTGTTATCAAATTCTTGATAACACAATGTTTAATTGACAATTGAGATTGTTTAATTGACAATTTTACATAATTTCAAATCAAACAAATAAAACTACAATTCTTAATTTCTAAATAATTTAACAATGTCTGAATTCAAATATAGGTTATTCAAATTCATTATTAAAGAATCAACCAATTAGTTTTAACATATATTGAACAACATATTATTTTCAAATGTAAAAATCAGTCAATATGTAAAGAATATAAAATATTGTGATATCATATGTATTAAAAATCATATTTTGAAATGCACACATAAGAATTTCTCAAGTGCATATTCAGAAAATAAGGATTTTGGCAATAGATGGCCAATTAAGATGAGCCCAATAGACTGGCAATAAAGAGAAAGAATGATTCACAGGTTATAGTCTTAAAAACAAAAAAGTTAGTTAAACTTTTGAAGTTCTTGTGGAGATGAAATTAAAGTTTAAACTTTCAAAGAGCTATAATGATAACAACAGTATGAAATTGAAAACTTTGACAAAATTTTGTCTATGTGGAATTTTTGGTCTCCTAGGTACTTTTTCTTTGTCCAAAAAAGCTAGAGATAAGGACATGTCTAGACTGTATAGAGAATGTTTCATAACATGATCTGGCTTTATCATTATCTTGGCCAGATATGCCAGGATTTTCAGGGACCAATTTTCATTCACTTTATTGAAAATATCCTTTCATATGAAATACTGATATAAAATTTGATTTATTAATTTAATTACACACTAAAAGGCATAATCGTAAAAATAAAAATATTTTTTCCACAAAATATTCAGCAATGTAAATCACTCATTTGAAAGATATAGAGCTACACAATTAAAAAACAACATTAAAGATTATTATACAAGGAACACAATGTAAAATACAGTAGAATTCACTTATTATATGCACTAATTCTGATTAAAGTAATCAAAAGGCTCAAAACATTTAAATTAAAAAACACTAAAAATTTTGCTTGTTGCTATCATTGTCTTCAGGTAGAGTTATTTTCAAGTTGTCTTATTGTACTATCAGCCTCAATATGACAACATGCAATCATTATCAGTTATCAATATCAGTGCTTTCAATATAGTGTTTTAAATTACCGGCATTTTTTACCTTAATGATATGCTAGCTGTTCAATACAGTACTAAAAAAAAGGCAGGAAAACACTAGATTATTAATAAAAATGATAATTAATAAACTTCAAGTTACATGTTAAAATGATTAAAAATGTATGTACTTTTAATGATGGAGTCAATAAAATCAGAATTCCTACTAATTATTCTAGTCTTACTTGCTCACTCTTCATATTGTTGTCAGTATACAGGTATGCCTCGCCTTACATCAGTAATTGGTTCCAGGAGAGATGACATAAGTCGAAAAAACGACGTAAGTCGAATTTACTTGTTCCGAATCTACTTGTCACTAGGCTAAACCATAAATTACTATTCCCGGTTCTGTATTTTATTTATTAATGCATTTCTAATAATATATGGTTAATAAGGATCTATTCTAAGCTTACAAACAAATAAATTTTAGTTTTTAATATAGTACAGAAAAAAATAATCTAAATTTACGAATGCATGTACTTTAAATACAGTACATACTTGTAAATGTATATATTTTAATATGATTTTATGTGCCTTAATCACTTTTCTAGTGATATTACGACTTCAATATTTGTGGCGGACAGATGTAAAGTCAAATAAAATGACTTAAACTTGATTTTTATTTTTCCATATACTTTTTTGACAAACGACATATAATCGGAAACAACGTAACTCAAAACGACATAAGTTGAGGTATACCTGTACTAAACGACATAAGTTGAGGTATACCTGTACTTACAGACAATCCTAAAAGATTACAATAAGTGGACTCTACTGTACATATTTTGGTCTAACTGAGGTCTGACCAAAATATTTTTTGACTAATCTAACACAGAATACAGACATAACTTATATATTTGTAAAATGTAATTTTGCACTACAATTGTATATAAAATTTTTTGCTTATTTGATTAAAAACATTAATTCCTATTGAGTAATGGAAATAGTTATTCAAATTAAACATTGCATTTTAAAAACTGGGAAAGAAAAAGCATGAGTAAAAACAGAAGTTCTTAATGAGTAAAAAATGAATTGAAATCAACTTGGAAAAACTAGATATTGTAGACATAAATACGTTCTAAATATGTACAATAGCAATGATCAATTTTCAGAAAACAAAATATATATATGCTGTACATAAATTATGAACAACATATATGTATTGTGTAAATTATTGTTCTGGCATAGTAAATGGTTCTATTCTTTAATATGATTTTATGTGTCTTAATCACTTTTCTAGTGATATTACGACTTCAATATTTGTGGCGGACAGACGCAAAGTCAAATAAAATGACTTAAACTTGATTTTTAAAAAAAATCACAACCTCTTTTCTTCTAGGAATAAAACAGAAAGAGAATACATAAAATATTATTAAAACATTCATTTAAAAAATTAATTTAACAATTTACTTAAAATAATTATTAAGAACATAAAGAAAAATTCTGATATTTTCTGTTGCATTATTAATTACAAGTAACCAACTTTCAAACAATCTTCTGCTAAAAATATGTACAGAACAAAAGTTGAGGACTGACTGTATTTGCAATTTAAGTTAGAAAACGTTTTCATTAACTTTTATTATTTAACAAGTTAAATGAATAAAATTGTAGATATTTTTTACTGAATTATGATAATGGACTATTCTCAATAATACTGATTACTGCTAAAATAAAATTATTATTTTTCAGTACGTAAAGAATATAAAATATTGTGATATATGTATTAAAAATCATATTTTGAAATGCACACATAAGAATTTCTCAAGTGCATATTCAGAAAATAAGGATTTTGGCAATAGATGGCCAATTAAGATGAGCCCAATAGACTGGCAATAAAGAGAAAGAATGATTCACAGGTTATAGTCTTAAAAACAAAAAAGTTAGTTAAACTTTTGAAGTTCTTGTGGAGATGAAATTAAAGTTTAAACTTTCAAAGAGCTATAATGATAACAACAGTATAAAATTGAAAACTTTGACAAAATTTTGTCTATGTGGAATTTTTGGTCTCCTAGGTACTTTTTCTTTGTCCAAAAAAGCTAGAGATAAGGACATGTCTAGACTGTATAGAGAATGTTTCATAACATGATCTGGCTTTATCATTATCTTGGCCAGATATGCCAGGATTTTCAGGGACCAATTTTCATTCACTTTATTGAAAATATCCTTTCATATGAAATACTGATATAAAATTTGATTTATTAATTTAATTACACACTAAAAGGCATAATCGTAAAAATAAAAATATTTTTTCCACAAAATATTCAGCAATGTAAATCACTCATTTGAAAGATATAGAGCTACACAATTAAAAAACAACATTAAAGATTATTATACAAGGAACACAATGTAAAATACAGTAGAATTCACTTATTATATGCACTAATTCTGATTAAAGTAATCAAAAGGCTCAAAACATTTAAATTAAAAAACACTAAAAATTTTGCTTGTTGCTATCATTGTCTTCAGGTAGAGTTATTTTCAAGTTGTCTTATTGTACTATCAGCCTCAATATGACAACATGCAATCATTATCAGTTATCAATATCAGTGCTTTCAATATAGTGTTTTAAATTACCGGCATTTTTTACCTTAATGATATGCTAGCTGTTCAATACAGTACTAAAAAAAAGGCAGGAAAACACTAGATTATTAATAAAAATGATAATTAATAAACTTCAAGTTACATGTTAAAATGATTAAAAATGTATGTACTTTTAATGATGGAGTCAATAAAATCAGAATTCCTACTAATTATTCTAGTCTTACTTGCTCACTCTTCATATTGTTGTCAGTATACAGGTATGCCTCGCCTTACATCAGTAATTGGTTCCAGGAGAGATGACATAAGTCGAAAAAACGACGTAAGTCGAATTTACTTGTTCCGAATCTACTTGTCACTAGGCTAAACCATAAATTACTATTCCCGGTTCTGTATTTTATTTATTAATGCATTTCTAATAATATATGGTTAATAAGGATCTATTCTAAGCTTACAAACAAATAAATTTTAGTTTTTAATATAGTACAGAAAAAAATAATCTAAATTTACGAATGCATGTACTTTAAATACAGTACATACTTGTAAATGTATATATTTTAATATGATTTTATGTGCCTTAATCACTTTTCTAGTGATATTACGACTTCAATATTTGTGGCGGACAGATGTAAAGTCAAATAAAATGACTTAAACTTGATTTTTATTTTTCCATATACTTTTTTGACAAACGACGTATAATCGGGAACGACGTAACTCGAAACGACGTAAGTCGAGGTATACCTGTATNTATGGATTAAGTTCGTTAACCGGGGTTCCACTGTATACGTATTTTGGAAATGTTGAGTCGGATTAGTGTAGAATCGATTAATTTTATGGAAGAAAACCTTTCAATCAGCTGTAGTCCGTAAACTTGACACGTTCGGGCTGTGATTGGAATGACTTGTAAGAAATTGGATTCCTAATAAATTGGAACGTATCTATATCTTATAGGGGGGTCGACTGTACAAATTTACACATTTGTGCAAAAGTGTAACATAAAAATATATTAAATAAAATAAGAAAATGATAAATAATAATAAAATAAATATGATAAAATATATAAAAATAATGATAAAGCACCAACAACTGCCATATGACATTGGGCTATATAATGACTATAATAATAACAATAATTTACTAATAAATTTGTCATACGGCTGTTGTTGGTGCTTTATTATAATGTTTCAGGTTTTTTTTGTATTTTGTTTATATTTGTGAAAATAATGAGTAAAAAGTGAACATAAAAGTAGTAAAAAATGAAAAAGAACACTACAAAACTTCAAATAAAGCCCTCTATGAATGCAACACCACTACAGCATCCTTAATGTTAATTGCAGTCCCATTCTTGATACCTTTATACATTTCCAGACTTTCCAAATATTTAAGATATGCCAGAGCCCTTAGTCTCGAGTTTTTCATGTTACAACTCCCAATGTATTGAAAGTGTCAAATGGTACATCTCACACTTTGACATCAAATTGGTAGTCTTGAGTTATAACCAAAATTGGGAAATTTGTTTTCTTTTTTTTAAATAAAACAATAATACACGTTTTATTTAGAAACCTTTGTTTTAAAACAATTTTATATTACATTATAAAATACTGTTTTAAAACAATGTTTTAAATTTTTTAAAAAATGTTTTATTACATGAATTTAGTAAATAAACTTTTTCTGACTTGTGAGCTAAACGTGAGCATGAGAATGGGAAATTTTTCTCACTCTCATGGGTCATGAAAGCATGTGACACATGACTTTTATCACTAAGAGGGAATTTCCTGACAGCACATGCCAGTTAATACTGTTAGCAATACAGCTAATGTATTGTAATATTACTTGGATGGAAAAAGACATTATTATTATCATTGTTACTTGTTAAGTAAAAAATAAGTGCAGGAAGAAGACTTGATAATATCTGAAACCAGTACAAACTAATTTCTGGAAATCCAGGAAAACCGGTATGCAGGGTGCAATGCAAAATATGTAGGAAAGAAATGGTTGGATTAGTCACTCTGTAAGGAACCAAGTCCGAGCAGTATTTTTATTTACTTTTATTTTTGCTTTTTATTATATTTTTTGTTTGGGGCTTATGTTTTGTTAGGATGAAGGTTTCCTCACCATTCACCTTAGAAACTTAAAAATAGAAGAGAAACCAACTCACCAACAAGAGAAAAGCGCCGTAGAAAAAACTCGTGCACACTTGCGCTCCCGAGCGAAAAAAAGTAAGTCCGCACCGAGAAAAGGGGGGAGACCCCACCAGTACAACTTAGGGACTCGCTAAACCTTAAAGAATAAAAACATCCCGAAAATTGTCAAAAAGGATAATGTAAAAGGTTAGCGAGTATTGTCGGAAAATAGGCTGCCAGACAAACAGAAAAAAGTTTGTTAGCAAATAAGTATGTAAATGAGGGGAGTGATTGCATTCAGAATTGTGACGTCACCTCACAGTATACAGACTGAACCTCTAGTGAAGATGGACGAGGTGAGCTTTGTAGCAGTGAACGAGAGAGGTGTCCGATAGGATCAAATAGTTCCAAGACGATTTTGAAGTTATTCGATTTGTGGATCGACGAATAGAGAACGTCTTGAGAGTTGAGGAAATAGGTTCCTAGTATATTGAGGTGACGATTAGGATCTTTAATTCATAAGAATTATTATTGTATATAAGTTAAGTCTTTGAATTTTGTCACATTCCAAAGGGGAATAGAATTAAGTTAGAAACTAGATTGAGTTGAGTTTTGTCGGGTTGATTCTTATTGACTTTCATTGAATAAATTGTTATTTGAATTTTACTAAATTTTGTATATAGTTTATTATCAGAACTTTTATTAAATATCTGATTTGTTATTGACAAACTTTGTCATTATTTAATTCAGTGCACGCTTAAAGTCCAGGCCTGGCACGTTAACGCGAATCCGCGTAAAGTACCCGTTAGGTAACGGCTACTTCCGGCACACAGTCGTGTCGATAATCGTTGTAGAGGGTGGAAAATTAATATAGTACTTTACAACTCTTATGAAAAAACATATTGAAGATAACCACCTACAAAATGATATACAGGAAATGCAACAGCTGGGTGAATATTTTGAACCATTATAAGTTTTAAAATTTTTTATAGCTTGCTATAAAGTTTTACCTCGGTCATAACTCAATTTCTATCTATATAGATATTCTTTAATTCTTCGCCCGAGTTATCTCCATAGAGTTATAGAGTTACAAAAAAACAGTCCTTTTCCAAAAATGTATGGGCTAATACATATACGTTGTTAACTATTATCTATGAAATTTTATTAATTACTTTTGCAGCAAAAATTTTTTATAACGTTTCATTAATTAGCATATTAATTGCCTTGTTGTTTTATTATGAGAATTTTTTAATCAAATGAATCAAATTGCTCTAAACTTTTGTAGGACCGATTTGACTTTGGTAAAATTTTTAAAAATACTATTGGATGATTTTTATGACATCAGCAGGTTTTTTGTTTTTTATTCAGTAGAATTCATGTAGAATACCCCAAATTTATAAAATTTTGTCAGATGTTG